GGTGTTTCCCACAGTGTGGCCGCAGCGGCGAGAACTTCGACAAGTTCTTCACGCGGGCGGCGCCAGCGTTGACTCCCCCAGACCGCCTAGTTCTGGCCAGCATCGACCAAACCGAATTCCAAGGCTTCACCTATGTCAACCCGGATTTCGTGCACCCGGATGCCCGCAGCCCCATCAGCCCAGCACCTGTGCCAGTCATGTAATCTCACCTGCCGCCACTAGGTGTCCCCATGGCTCCCTCCGCCGCGCCAGCCTTACCCCTACCTCACGCGCCCCCTACTTCACCACCCCCTCTCCAATTCTAGATCTTGCTCCCCAACGTTCTGGCCTCTGCCCTCCCCCTCCCTGCCCCGGGTTCCAGATGCCCCTCCCAAGCGTTCTAAACTGCATACATTCTAAACTGCATACAATCTCTGGAGTCTTACCGTGTTCTAGATTCTGCTGGGCTGAGCCCTAGATTCTGACCTGCCTCAGTGTTCTGGATTCCGCTCCACCAAGTTACAGAGCCACCAACACCATCCCAACTCCAAGGAGTTCTAGACTCCATCTTGGTAGAATCTATGCCTCTTCTTCTTCTTCTTTCTTATTTCTGGGAAATAGCGTCACAGGGCGGGCTGTTTCAGACTGGGATTTCAGGACAACCCCCCCCCCCCCGAGGCCCCACCTACCTCCACTCCATTCTGGAGTAAGTGGGAAGCTGTGCCTCTGTGCTCCAGTGCCCCTCTTCTACACTCTGGGGATTCCTGGGATGTATGGAGGATTCTCTCCCCAGCTGTTCTCAGTCAGCTTTTGTCCTAGACTCCCCATCCTAAACCCACCACTGCATGGCTTCTCCAGTCCTGCTTGGAACCCAACCCCTACCCCAGTGCCTGCCACTCTCGGGGTCTCTCCCCACCCCCAATCCTCTGCCTCTCCCACCCTGCCACAGCTGCTGGAGAATAAATTTGGGATGCTGATGCTGAAGTGTTTGGATGTTTTCTTCTAAGCTTGGAGAATGAAGGGGGTGTGCAGGTGGGACAACGACTATACATAGAAACAAACAGAGACAGAGGCTGAGGAAGGGTCTGCAGAGAGAGAGGGAGAACGCAGAGGCCCATAAAGTGAGAGATGATACCCACAGCATGAGAGTAAAGAACAAAGATCTGGAGAAAGCAGAGAGAGAGCGAGAGAGCGAGAGAGCGAGAGAGCGAGAGAGCGAGAGAGCGAGAGCGAGAGAGAGAGAGCGCGCGCGCGAGCGAGCTACACACAGAGTGCCATAGAGAGGACCAAAGTGGACACGTGCAGGAAGAGGCAGCGGTGTACTCATAGACCACTGAGCGTGTCAGGTAGAGATCCCGGGCACAAAGACAAGCACGCACATATTCGCCCAGAGCAATAAAGCTCACACACTGGCACACTGAGACCCAGCGACTGGGAAGTCCTAAGAGGGAGGATGAAAGGCAAGCCTGCTATTGAGAGACCCTCCAAGACAGAGACACCCGTGAGCTTAAGAATCAGAGACTGAGGCAGAGGGCAGGCAGATGCGCCCTCCGGGCCTCTTTCCCCTGACCCACTTGTGAGTGAGGGGCGTGGAGAGGGCAGTCCAAATAGACTACACTTCCCAGCAGACACTGCGGCGGACCCTTCCCCCAAGTGCGGCTCCCGCCGCCAGGGCTGATGGGAAGTGTAGTCCCTGGACAGGGACAGGCCAATGGAATGGTGTGCCTCTGTCTGTATATTTGGAGGGGACTGAGCTTCAAAGCTTCGCAGGCTCCCTCGGGGAACCCCGGCGTCTCTTGGTCCCTGCAGGCTCTTGGGTTTCCGGGATTCGGCCCAGTTGGATGCTGGGGCTTCTCCTCTCTTTCCCAGCACCGCCGCGGTACCCCCATCCGGTGCCCGCGGCCCCCAGCCCCTGCTCCGACCCTCGGCGGGCGGCCTGCCCCTTTAAGAGTGGCCCCGCTGACATCACGGCGGGGGGGGTGGGTGCTGGCCCGGCTCCCGGCTCCGCGGCGGCTGCAGGACCCGGCTCCGCTCTGCGCCCGCCTGCTGCTCAGGGGACCCCGGCCCGGGACGCCCCCTCCAGCTTCTTCCAGCCGCCCAGACCCCAGGCTCCGCCCCACGCCTGGGCAGAGCCCCAGTCTTCATCAGGGTACCCCAGGATTGCCCCTGCTGTCTCTTCTTCTCAGGGTCTCTTCTCTCTCTCTCTCTCTCTCTTTCTCCCTATCTCAAGGTCTCTGGGTCTCAGCATCTCTCAGCCCAAAGGTCTTTGACGGTCTACCTGTCTCTCTCTCTGTCTGTGACCTCTCCACTTCCAGGACCCCAGAATCTCTGAGCCTGGAGGAAGAGGAGGGATCCTAGATCAGATCTCTGCCTCTCCATTTCTCTCTCTGTCTCTTTTAGGCCATCTCTGTGTCTTCTCCAGTCTCCAGACCTGCGAGTCTCAGAATTTCACAGCCTCGAGGTCTCGGTGTGACTCTGGATTCTCTGCTCTGTCTCTCTGCCGCTCTGTGTGCCCCTGCCCCTCTCGGGCTCTCTACCTCTGTTTCTATTCTCTCTCGCTCCCTGCCTCCCCCATTCTCGAGGCCCGTCTCCCTCCCTCCCCGCATCCTTTCCCCTCTCCTTCCCTGCCCCTCCCCTTCTCCTCAGTAGCCAATGAGCGGCCGCCGGTCCCAGCTCCCGGCGTCGTCCGCCGAGTGAGGCCGCGGGCGCGGGGGGTGGGGGGTGGGAGGCCGGGAGGGGGCCGGGACGCCGGGCTCCGGGGCGGGGGCGGGGGGCGCGGGCACCGGCGACCCCGGTGGCGGCGGCGGCGGCGGCGGCGGCGGCCGGGGGAAGCCGCGGGGCCGGTCATGCGGCTGCGGGGCCCGCGGCCCGGAGCGTCCGCCCAACCCTGAGCGAGGTGAGCGCGAGGGGAGGGTCCTGGAAGGAGGTGGGCGCGGGGGGTTCCTCTGGAGGTGGCTGGGGGACGGGGCTTGGGCTAAAAGGGGCCTGAGTGGCTCCGGGGGCTGACATTCTGGCGGTCGGACGCCCGAGTTCGGGGGCAATGGGGGATGGAGGGACATTTGGGCCTAAGGAATCTGGGAGGACGGGGTCCGAGGGTCCCAGAGTGGGGCAACTATACTCTTAATGTCCGAGTCTTGGAGACCGTGGGCACCGGGGAGGGTGCAGGCCAGGTCCTTGAGGGAGGCGGTCCTGGCTGAGCGGGGAGGGCCTGGGCCCAGTAAAGGCAGGCTGGAGTCTGAGAAGGGGTCCCCAGAAAGAGGGAGCACGTCTCCCAAGGTATTGAAGGGAGGTGGAGTTTGGACTTGGGGCTTGGAGAATGGGACCCCGGGGATCCAGAAGCCTATATCCAGGAAAGGCTGGGCTAAAGAAGGATAAGAAGGAGGCTCCGGGCCTGGGGGGGAGGGGGGGTCCCAAAGGAGGAAGGGCTGGAGGCTGGAGGAGAATGAGGAGATCTGGGCGGGCCATTTAGAGTGAGGAGGAATCAAGCAAGGAAGGAGGGGACCTCCAGAGGCGAAGTGAGAAGGGTGACGTTGGCAAGGTCCCAGCTGGGAGTCTGAGAAGCCAATGGGGGGAGCTGAGGTCACCTACCTGGGACTAAGACAGTCAGGGTGACAGGGTTTTTGATGCTGGTTTCCGAGGTGAGTGGACTGGAAGAGGAGCAGACAGCTAGCAGTCAAGCCCTGGAGCCATGGGACGGGGGATGGGAGGAAAAGCTGGTCGGAGCCCTGCCAGCCTCGGATTCCTGAATCCTCCAGGAGGCTGGGGGCGTGGCGGGTGGGCGGGGGGCGCTGGATGCTGCAAGGGGGGGGGGCAGGCGGGATGAAGATTGTCTCAAACTCCAGGGTTCTTATTGGGGTGGTGTCAAGTTTCAAGGCTACAAGAATTCTGGTTCAGGAGAGTGGGGTCTCAAGTCTTGGCTGCATTGTTGGGGGGCTGTTGATTCGGGGTCTTAACCTTCATAGTTAAAACGGTGATGGAGATTGTGGTATTCATGTAGGTTGAGGTCTCTGAGATAGGATGGGGATTGCAATTTGAGCCTCCCAAATCATGAGACTGTGTGGTTTAGGGAAATGTTCTTGATAAAGGGTGAGTGTGGCGGGTAAGGGATTAAGAGCTCCCTAGTTGGAGTCTCCAGACTTCTGACTGGAATTTTGGAGGCCACAGCCTTGAACTGAGGATTTCTTTTTTGAGGGTCCAGTGTTAGGGAGATCTGTGTTCCAGGTTGCATGTGGAAGAGGGTCTGTATTTGGAAATCCTAGTGTGGGAAGTTGGAGTCCAGAACCTCTGGTAGGGAATCTGGGGATCTTGTAATGGGGATGGGGGGAATGGGGATCCTGGGCTTCCTGATCCGGGTTTTAGAGCTCAGAGCACTGATCCCTAGTTTGAAGGAGGGTCACTTGTTTGACTGGAGTGCTCTGATTAGGGTGCTGAGATGGGGGACTCCCAGATCATGGTTTTGACGTTCTGGAGTCTCCAGCCAAAATCCTGGCTCCAGGTCTCTGGGCCCCAATATTCTGGGATCCAGCAACATGGGGTGGAGTTCTAGCATTCCAGGTTCAGGGGCCTGCGGGGATTTGGGATGGGGGGAGGGGGGAATTAAGGTTCTGGAATCTTGGATCTGGGTCGTGGTCCATGATCTCAGACTGGGATACCAAATTGAGGTCAAGACACCATATCAGAGTTAAAAGGTCAAGGTCTTGGTATTAGTATTGGATGTTAAGGGTTTAAACTTAGATGGGAGGTCTGAGGTCAAGGCCAGGGTATGGGGTTAGGGTCCTTGGCTAGCGACCCACTTGGGGGATTTCTAGTTGCTATTCAGAGACAGAGTCCAAAAGAAAGGGGTCAGGGTGTTAGGTCTGGGCCTGGAGTCAGGATTGGTGGCCTAGGTTAGGGTTTCTAGACAAGTTACTGGTTCAAATCCAGGGATGGAGTTGTAGGTCAGGACACAGAGGTCAGATTTTAGAGGGTTCAGTTTGGGGATTGTTGTTTCTGGCCTGGGTCCGATGTCCCATGTGGCTGCACGGGGTCTGGGGACTCTAGTGGTCCCATCAGGGCCCTCCACTGCAGCTTCCCGTCCCTCAGGCCCCGCAGGGCGCCCCCCGCCGCTGAGGATGAGTCACTGCAGTAGCCGCGCCCTGACCCTGCTGAGCAGCGTGTTTGGTGCGTGTGGCCTGCTGCTTGTGGGCATTGCGGTCAGCACGGACTACTGGCTGTACATGGAAGAGGGAACGGTGTTGCCACAGAACCAGACCACGGAGGTCAAGATGGCGCTGCATGCCGGCCTGTGGCGCGTCTGCTTCTTCGCAGGTACAGACCTCACCTGCCCACCAGTCAACTGTCCCTGCCTTGCTTGGGATCCGAGAGTCTTTATCCATAGTTCCATCCCATGGGTGCCAGAAATCCAGAAATCAGTCCTGTTTCTCTCCTGGAGAGTCAAATTTCTACCTGGAGATTCAATTTCTAGCCCTTTATTCCCTGGATCTAAGAACCTTAATGCTCACACAATCTCCAGGTCCCTAATCCCCGTAACCTCCTGGAGCCCCTGGCCCCTTAGAAGCAGCAGTCTAAGTTCAGAACTTGTCTCCTGGACAGTTCCAGAGCTGAATGGGAATAAAAAAACAACAACAAAACTGTGCCTCCCAGCTACCCCAGAGACCACTCCTTCTAGGAATCCTGTCCCACCTCAACCCCCAGACCTTACCTCTTTAGGGATCCAGGAGTCCTGGCCCATAGCCCCTCCTCACTTGGGACTCAGTCTTCCAGCCCTGTCCTCCATCCAAGGGACTCTAAGGCAGCTTGCAATAGGAGCTCTCGGACTCCTGCCCACCCCCTTCTGCGACCCCCTAAGAGTAGTACAGACCATGATCCTTGGGTTAAACCTCACATTCCCATCCTGGGGTCTCTCTACTGTGCGTCCTGCCCCTGACTGCCTCTCCAAAGCTCAGGAGCCTCTCATCCAGCCCTGCCTTCTTATCTTCCCCTCAGGCCGGGAAAAGGGTCGCTGCGTGGCCTCAGAATATTTCCTTGAACCGGAGATCAACTTGGTGACGGAAAACACGGAGAATATTCTGAGTGAGGGGAGGCAGGGGGTGGGGAGGGTCAGGCAACAAGGGTGCAGGGTGGCAGCGCGGGTCCTGGGAGAAAGGCTAGGACCAGAGAAGGGGTGGGGTGGGAGGGAAGGAGTGGAGGCTTGACAGCAGGCAGAGTGGTTGGGTAAGGAGGAGGGGCCAGGTTGAAGGGGTGGGGCCTGGGAAGTGGGTGGAGTCAATAGGCAAGGGGTGGGGTCAAACCAGAGGAGGTGTGGCCTGTGTGAAGGGGTGGTGCCAGCAGTGGAAGTTTCAGAAAGGGGAGGAACCACATAAAAGAGCGGGGTCAGGGCTGGGAGGTGGGGGGTGGAAGTGGAGGGGTCAGGAGAACGGGGAGGTGTCCTCGTGGAGAGTCCCCCCTCACCCCTGTCTTTCTTCTTACCCCTCCCCCAGAGACAGTGCGCACAGCCACCCCCTTCCCCATGGTCAGTCTCTTCCTCGTGTTCACCGCCTTCGTCATCAGCAACATCGGCCACATCCGCCCACAGAGGACCATTCTGGCCTTCGTTTCTGGCATCTTCTTCATCCTATCGGGTAAGCCCAAGGAAAAGACTTAAAGGCCGTGGGACTATTTTAGGTTCCAGGAACCTGGGGTTCCTCTTCCAATAGGAAAGCCACTTCCTTGCTGTGTAATCCTGGAGGAGTTGCAGAACCTCTCTGAGTCCCACTTCCCTCCTCTGTGAAATGGAGCTAGCCGCCAAATCGCAGCGAATGCCTGTTGGGTGCTAATTAGGTGCCAGGCTCTGTTCTGATACTCACAACAACCCTGTGAGATAAATGCTATTAATAGCCCCATTTTACAGATATGGAAACAAACACTCAGAGAAATGAAGTCATTTGCTCAGGGCCATACAACCAGTGAGAGGCAGAGATGGGATTCAAACTCACGCATTTCGCCTCCAGAGGCTGTATTTTTAACCACTCCTGATATTTGAGCAATTAACAGATTACAAGGCTCTTTATGTTCTGTGCATCATTTTACTTGAACATTTTTCAACCAGAAAAGTTGAAAGAACCCTGTGCCCACCACTTACGGTCGACCATTACCATACCACAGATGTGCTCTATCCTGTATCTGTCCATCTGTCTCTCTACCCATCCATCAGTCTATCTTATTATCATTTTAAAATGCATTTCCAAGTGAGTTGCAGGCATCAGTACACTTTGCCCTAAATTCTTCACCATGCGTGTCATTAGCTAGAGTTCAACGTTTGTTTATAGTTCTTGTTTCTTTTGAGATTCAGGGTTCTTTTGCATGAGTGATCTCATAACCTTCTCATAACATCTCTGCCCGGGAGTTATTATTAGCACTCATTTGATAAAACGGGGATACCGAGGCCTGCAGTTGTGCAGGGAGTTGCCTAAGATACCAACATAATGCTGGCTCCCCAGGGACCCAAGTGTCCTGAGCTCCAGAGTAGAGCTGTTTCTGAAGTGCTACCCTCCTCCAAATTTCAGCTCAGTCCAGTCCAATGTGGTCCAACTCAGCTCAGGTCAGCCCAGATCACCTCAGCTCTGACACACTTAACTCCATCAGTCTGGCCCAACTAACCCCAATCTATTCTGACTCATTTCTTCAGTTCAATTCGAATTAACTCAACGTGATTTAATTAAACCCCATTCGTGCCCTTTTAATTCAGTTGATACTTTATGAACAAACCCCGCTGTTGGTCTCGTTTCCGTTCTGTCCCTTTGGGCCCGCATTCGGCTGCCTCTTTTGAGTTGGCTCTGCAAATAGTTGAAGATAGATCTTCAAATATCCTCTCCCCCAGTCTCCTCCCTTTTCCTCACCCAGCTTTCTCCAGGCTAAACCTCCCCCGTGTTTCCAACCTAACCTGACGCGACCTCTTCCCAGGGAAACCAGGGTGCAACCTCTGTGCAAATTTGAATCACAGCATGTAGAGCCAGACACAGAGCTAAAATAAGACACGTAGAATATCTCCATCCCAGAGTGTCAGATGGAAAAATAGTGGCCTAGAGAGACAGAAAGTGGGGCAAGGGTAAGGAGCATGGGAACGTTTATTCAACCCACCTGAAACATTAGAAGAAGGAAGATCCCATTGTTCGTGGTTCACAGAAGTTGAAACAAAAGAGGTGACATAGCTGGTAAATGGCAGCGCTGGCATTAGAACCGAGGATATTCTCTTCCCAAAAGCCATGCTCGTGGACCTGATTTGCATCAGGACCTGACTTCCCAAGGTCAAGCTGAGGATCAATGGTGCCTTCAGGGCTGCAAGTCAGGCCTCTGATGTAATAATAGAGTAATGGGCGGGGATTGAACCCCGCTTCCTGAACTTCATTTCATAGACTATGACCTATGCACCCCACCCAAAGTATCCACTTGTGTGCTTTACAGGTTGTAGGGGGTAGTGGCTGAAGGCACCTGCTCCTGTGAACCTAGAAAGACCTGGGTTAAAATCCTACCACTTACTCGGTGTGTGAGTTACAGCCTTCCTTTCTGGAGCTGTTGAGAGGACCAGTCTTGTTCAGGGGTCAGCAAACTTTTTGCTTAGGGCAAAATAGTAAATATTTCAGGCTTTGTGAGCAAGCAGAGGGGAAGCAATGGGCCTGGCTGTGTTCCAATCATCCTATGTATGGACCCTGAAATTTGAATTCAGTGTAATTTTCATGGGTTATGAAATATTCTTCTTCTTTTGTTTTTTTTCCCCCACCATTAAAAAAAAGTAAAAACCACACTTAGCTCGCAAACCATACAAAGACAGGCAGCAGGACAAATAGTAGTTTTCTGACCCCTGCTCTAGATCACGGACGTGAAGGGCCAACCCAGTGCCTGGTCTATAGCAGTAAGTATTCAACACGTGGTAATTTTAAATAAATACATACACACATACATTCATAAATAGCTGTAGTAGCAACAACAACCGTGATAATAAACACTTTATTGAGTGCCATGGTTTGGGGAAGTTCTAAGTGCTTTGTGCAAAGTAAGTTACTTCTTTTTCTTCCCCTCATAAGGCAGATGCTATCATTATTCCCATTTTCCACTTGAGGAAACCGAAGCACTCGGAAGTTGCTCCATAGTGGAAGAAGGATTCCAAACCAGACTTTCACCCTGGCGCTCTGCTGCCCTACCACAGTTAAAAATCCTAAAGACAAAGGAGATTAAAAGAGAGGAAAGGGGGACTTCCCTGGTGGTCAGTGGTTAAGACTCTGCAGTTCCACTTTAGGGGGCACGGGTTCGATCCCTGGTCTGGGAAGCAAGATCCTGCATGCTCTGTGATGGGGCCCAAAAGACAGGGGAAAGAATGGAAATAGTACCAACAATATCTTAGATCTTGGAATGGAATGATCTAGTCCAACCACCTCATGCTCCCCATGAGGAAACTGAGACTTAGAAAGAGACGAGAGTTGCCCGAGGTCGGGGAAATGGTGAAGTTGGCATTCAATTTTGGAGAAAGTGGTGAGAGGGCTGGGGCAGGAAAGGGATAGGGTCACACCGGGACGTTAAAGATCCCTCAGGGACTTGTGTTTGGAATGCACTAGAAGGAAAGAGACTGGAACTGGGCAAACAGAGGAGGAGGCTTATGCATTGGTCCGGGCAATAGCAGATAAGGTTTGAGCTGGGAGGGGGTGTGGAAGGATAAAGGTGACTGGATGGCTTTGAGAGAGAGGGATATTGACAGAAGAATCAATAGAACCAGATGACTGACTGGATATGGTTGGTGAGAGAAGGGGAGGAGGCTGGAGTGACATTGATTTTCTTTTTCCAGGTCATAAGAGGCATGCTTCCCATGCATGGCTCATATTAACCCCTGATCCTCAATCATGCTCTATGCATCTGCTCATTCATTCATTCACTCATCAAACATTTACAGAGACATCTTACATGCCACGCCCTGTGCTGGGTGCTGGTGACATACTGAATCTTTTTTTTTTTTTAATGTGGTGAAAGTCACATAATATAACATACTATTTTAACCATATTAAACTGTGCAGTTCAGTGGCACTAAGTACATTCACATTGTTGTGCAGCTCTCACCGTCATCCATCTCCCAGAATTTTCACCTTCCTAAACTGAAACTCTGTCCCCATTAAACACTAACTCTCCATTCCCCCTCCCCAACCCCCGCCTGGTCCCTGGCATCAACCAATGTACTTTCTGATTCTATGAATTTGGCTATTCTAGGTACCTCGTATAAGTGGAATCAAACAGTATTTGTCTGCACCTAATGTATATTGGAATGCATGACAGTCTGCAGGCAGTCAGCCACAAAACAGCTCCCAGCTACATGTGCGTCAGTGCTTGTCACACAACGCTTAAATCCCTTTAATGGATTTCCATTGCACTTAGAATACATCCCAATTCCTCATGCTGGCTTACAAGGTCTTCCATGATTTGGCCACTGTTCAGACCTCTGGCCTTATTACCTAACTCACTAACACTCTCTCCATTGCTTGTAACTTCAGCTGCACTGGCCTCAGTCTATTCCTCAAAAATGATCATCTCAGCCTCACTTCCATGTTTGGAAGTCTCTTCCCCCTAATTCTCAAAGACTCCAACTTTCCCTCTTCAGAGTTTCTTTCTCTGACAGTGGTACCCCATGTTGCTTTGCCCCCACTATACTATCCATCACATTCCCTATTTTATATTTGTTTCATAGCACTTATTGCTATTGTCATCTTCATTTTCTGTCTCCTTCTACTGGAATGTAAACTCCAAAAGGCAGGAACACGCTCTTGCTTGTATCTTCAGGGCCTAGATGAGTTGCTGGCACAAAGTCCACAATGAATGTAGAAGGGATGCATGGTAAAGACAGCTCAGGGCATTCTGGGAAAAGCGAAGATGCATTAAGCTGACACAATAAGGTGGTGGGAAGGGTGGGAACGACCACAACTTCAGGAGCAGGTGACATCTAAGTTGACGATGCAGAAAGGGCGAGGGGAAGTTTTTCACGTGAAGAGAGAAAAGTGCCTTGTACAGAGATGGAATTCACAGCATGTGTTAAGACCCTAGAAAGCAGCTAAGACAAGTAGCCAGCTGTGTAGCTCTCCGTGGTCCTGAAACTCTTTGTTCTAAAGCAGCTTGTGCCTGTTGAGCTTGGAATGTAGGTGATTCTTGCCTACTGTGCTCTAAGTATTCTGAAGCAGATGTAGCGGAGGGGGGAGGGAGAGAGTTGGATTACAGAGCAGGGAAGGGGGAAGGGAGAGAGAAAAAGGGAGAAGGGGAAAAAAGGGAAAAGAACGTTATTTTTTAGAGAAGCAGAGCCACTGTAAAATGACCAGGAAGGAGAAAGAATGACAAGAATAACTTACCTTTTGACGTTGTTTTTAGACAACTTTCAATTACTAAAAACAAGGGTGAAAAACAACAACAAAAAGCTCTTTCTCTGTTTCTTTTTTTTTCTTATTTTTCTTCTCTTTGGAAATATTTGTCTCCTTCTCATCACCCCTGCTCCTGACTCTCTGTATGGAGAATGTTTGTTATTTACAACTGAAATGTGAAACATGGGACTTGAGGTGAGGCAGGAGTGGTTAGCAGGTATGGGCTTTAGAAAGAACCAGTATCTAAAACA